TTCAAAGTGTTGGTTCGGTGGTTCAAAGTGTTGGTTCGGTGGTTCAAAGTGTTGGTTCGGTGGTTCAAAGTGTTGGTTCGGTGGTTCAAAGTGTTGGTTCGGTGGTTCAAAGTGTTGGTTCGCAGACGATCAGGAGCTGCGGCGCCGAGATGCACATGAGCCCGAACGGGTTTTTCCGTTTGGATCTTTCCACTTTTAATTTTTTTAACGTGATGTTTGCCTGAGAGGCGTGTCTGTGTGAGTCAGGCACACAGCTGACAGGGCGGATCCAGGTGATCGAGTTCTGCCAGGAGGACGAGTCCACGCTCAGCCGGGTCTGACCTCCAGCTCTGGTTCTGGTCCAGCTCGTCCCGTTTTCACATCGTGTGTGTTTGTGTTGATCTGCTCCAGCTGACGTGTCTCGGTCTCTAAAACTTACACTTGTTTTGATTTTTATTATTTTGCACTCGTTTAGATCAGACTTGAAGCTTTAAAATCTTTACGGAGACATTTTTTATCTTTACGTTAAAATGGAAAGCTACTCAACTGGTGGCCCGGGGGCCACATTCGGCCCGCTGGTGAGCTCAGTGCGGCCCGTGTACGAGTTGATTTAAAATAAAACTAATTTTAAATGGACAATAAATTACCGTATGTCTGACCTGATCAGTAACTGGACCTCTGAACAACGAATAGCTCTGCTTTAAAGTGAATACTCGGATCTTTAGAAGTCAAGTTTTGTGGGAAAAAAATATCTTAACTGTTGTAGATGATTCTTTACATGACCTCCGTTTGGAAAAATAAAGTTTAGATCTGCCAGGATTTATGAGCTAACGGCTAATCAAGTAGAGCCAAGACCGAGGTCAAGTCCGGTCGTTTGAAAACAAATTCAATTATTAATTTCTCACTCAGTTATTTACAGTCATTTACAGTTATTTAGTCATTTACAGTCATTTACAGTCATTTACAGTTATTTAGTCATTTACAGTCATTTACAGTCATTTACTGTCATTTACTGTCATTTACAGTCATTTACAGTCATTTACAGCAGCTAGCTGTAGCAGCTAGCTGTAGCACTTCTTCTGTAGCCTGGGACACTTCCTGTAGGAATATCATATTTCTGCTGAGAGTTAAAAGGATGTAAAAAAAGTGTATTGATGATCCAATATCTGTTTGATTAGTTTAAGTTTTAATCTTAGCGGTTAGCTTAGCCTAGCCAGTTGTGTCGAACTAAAGTGTTTCTTCAAACAGGAATAATTTCAGAAGTTCTCGTCACCAAACAAGAAGTAAAAATGTAAACTCTCCAGCATGTGAAGAACGCAGCCTTCAGCCCCAACACGTTTGGGCGTTGTTGCTTTCAAGTGACTGTTAGCAAAACACGACTAAGAATAAAAGCTTCAAAACAAGACAATAAATTAGTGCAAATGTCACATTTTAGTAAACAAAACTTTTTATTATCTAAATTTGTCACAAGCGTAAGTTTCTAAGCAGGTTGTTTGATTGTTAAGGATTATCTCTGGATTTTAACCAAGCACGCTAACTTTAACTTCAACTAAAAAAAGGCGGGAAAATTTAATTCCAGTATATTTGTCATCCAGAATATTTAGTTGTTTATTGTTTGTTTTTTTAACAAGGTGTCGATCGATCACAAATGATCAACATTTACTTGATTCCGTTGTACTCTTGTTAACTGAACAAGCTTTTATCTGATTTTTGTATGTGATGTTTTGTGCGTTAGCTAAAGCTAGCAAGGAGTTTTTTTAATCGTTTTGTGACCGTTTGACTTTATTAAAGAAAAAATGTTTTCTGAAAACCATGTTGCCCACTCCTGGTCTGAGTCATGCGTTTCAATTGGTTTAATTGGTTTGACATTTTTAGGGATCGTCTTTGCTTTTTGTTAGATTTTTATCAACCATGCTAACTTTAGCATGCATTAATGCGTAAGGATTGTAGCAGAGTTTGGATGATCCTGAGTTGATCCAGATAATCCCAAGTGATTTTATGACGTCTGTGTTTCAGGGATTGGTGTTTGAGCAGAACCCAGGACAGGAGGGACTGCTGAGGTTTGCTGTTCTGAGTCAGGAGCTGACCTTTCACCTCCAGCAGCTGCAGAGCCGGACCGAGCAGGAGCTCAGCAGCATCCAAACCCAGTGAGCAAAATGATTCTTTACGTTGACGACGACGAGTTTACAACGACCAGTTTACAACGACCAGTTTACAACGACCAGTTTACAACTACCAGTTTACAACTACCAGTTTACAACGACCAGTTTACAACGACCAGTTTACAACGACCAGTTTACAACTACCAGTTTACAACGACCAGTTTACAACTACCGTTCCTTTATTTACAGGACAGAAGCTATGCTAATGCTAATGCTAAACATTAATACTAAATGCTAAAGTAAAACTATATAGTTTTTAAATTTAAAATATTACGTGTGAAATTAAATGTGAAATATAAATTACCGACTTTTTTTAAATTGACGTTTGATTTACTGATTATTACTGTAAACTGAACTGTGCTATCTGGACTGAACATATTTATTTAGATGAAACTGGAATAAATAGGAATAAGCCGTCTTGAATTGGAATCTGTTTTATGGAGTTGGTGGGAATTAGATTGACATTTTATACACAAACCAAACAAATGATCTTATCTGAAATGAATCGGATTGTATTTCAGTATTGATGAGTTGGATCATTGTTGAATTGAATTGGATCATTTATAATTGGACCATTGTTGGAGTAGATTATTGTTAAAATGGAATCATACTGATTGTATTGAATGTTTTAATGTTTGTTGTTAAGACTGAAGTGAGAATAATTTGAATAAAGGAGGATCGTCCTGACATTATGACACTTGTTTTGAATTGGATTGAATTGAATCAGAAGTTCATTGAATCAGACTGTTTAAATAAAATGACTTTAATCAAATCTACTCAGTTAAGGCTGTATTGTGAAGAGAATTCTTCCTGAAGTAGACTTGACCTATTCTGAATTAAATTGGATTGAATTGGATCTTAAATATTTGAAATGAATGTGATATTTATGAGCAGCTGTTTTGGTTTAGAATTGGAATGAACTGACGTTTTGTTTAGAATTGTTCAGTTATATTTGCTGTAAAATAAGGTTAATCCTATTTGGGTTGAATTGGTTTGAATTGGACCATCTTTGGATTGAGTTGGATTACATTTTTCTTGCTGTACTTGGATGAAAGTCATTTGGAGTAATTTAACTTGGATAAATTTGCCCCACCCTGAATTGTACTCATCCTGAATCAGAACTCGACTGAATTGGACCATTTTAATTCAATTGAAGTCGGATGATGTCGCTAAGCTTTTAAGCTGTCTAAATTGACCGAACTTTTGGCAAAACCACTCTTCTTACTCCAACAGTCTTGATGCTTCGTCTACGGTTTATACGTCAAAACATGGGTATTTTTGTCCTCTTTCTCTCCGCCGGCGTCCCTCTGCTGCAGGAATGATGGATTCCTCTGAAGTCCCCTCAAGTGCAGCGTACGCCCAAACCCCCATTGACTTCCATCTTACCCCGGGCTTCAAAACATGAAGCGAGTGGTCACGTCTCTGACGTGCACCCTGTAGGAACATGTGAAAACGTAATGGTAAACAAGGGACGGTACTGTTGAGTCTTTCTGTCTTATTAAGATACTCAAAGTGCTTTACAACACAATCTGTGCACTCGTTTACAGCACTCTACTACACATTCATACAGTACTACACATTCATACAGTACTACACATTCATACAGCACTCTACTACACATTCATACAGCACTCT